ATAATAATATTATAAGAAATAATAATTATAATTTGTAATGATAATTATAATTAAATATAATAATAATTTTAAATTAGTATTAATTATAATAATTGAACTAAAAATTATAATAACTATTATAAATCTCAACAATTATAATTATAATAATAATTAATAATATTTATATATGAAAAGAAAAATTAATTATAATCTATTTTAATAGTTATTAGAATAATCATTACATATAGAAAAATCTAATAATTATATTTCTGATTCAGGGTGTTGGCAGACCTGGACAATCTAATGTCAGGGATGACGACGAGGCGTACGATGACTATTATGATGGTTCTGGCACCCGACACACTAGAAGTCGGGGTGTCAATGCGTCCGTTCGTCGGGAGAGGGACACGGAAAGGCAGGCGTTGATCGATGAGGCTCGTAGGGTACAGCTTCGTCAGGCTAGCCAGAGTTCTCGTCCCCCCGCACCAGTGCCCACTGGTCCATATCATTTTGAGGGCCAGCCAGATAGTTCGCGACCCCACGGAGCCCTCCCGTACGGCGAACATGGATTTTATTATCCTGGCCAGGCGGGCAGGACGATGCTCCCGGCACCAGGACCGTACGATCAGCCGGGATGTGCTTTTCCCCGCTACGCAGGGAAGTCGATACCCCCCCGCGCACGCGTACCATTACCTTATGGTTAGCAGGGGTATGCTGATGATGAGTCGTACGGCGAGAGGGAGCCGGGTCCAGAGGACTATGACTCGGACGACTCTTCAGATGATCTGGACCACGCACAGCCTACAGGTCCTAACCACCCTCGTCCTACTGTACAGCCAGTTCGTCCGGTACAGCCGGTTATACAGCATGTTCGTCCGGTACATGCTGTTCGTCCCACACAGCCTGCTCCTCAACGACAGGCTGGGGGGTGTTTTGGCCCATCTGCATCCTCATCAGGTAAATAATTTACTTATTTATTGTTGTTTAACATAAATTATTTTCACTTAATCGTAACAAATTATCGGTACTATTAGAAAAGTATTATCGGCCTGCTCCTCAACTACAGTATAATTATTTTGTAATTTAGGGTAAGTTAAATAAATTATAATTAATTATAAATTCAAAAAATAATATTAATAATTATAAATTATATATGCTTATAATAATAACGTAAAATGTAAAATGTAACGTAACTAATGAAATATGTTTTATTAAATATATTTTATTTAATGCATCTGCCAGCAAGTCAATATATACAGATATGTTGTATTTTAATGCAGGTACTAGCAAACGAGCTAGGACCGATGATGATGCACCCTGGATCGTTAGAGGGCCAGTGCCCGGTGGGCCCATTGATGGGAGTGTCATCCCTAGATTTCTTGGGCACGTCGCCTCCCGCATGTGGAGTGGAAATTTGAGGGGGCCGCTGAAATGCCACAACAGACTGCGAGCGATCGAGAATTTGAAGGCTTGGCGTGAAGAGATGTCTTCCGATGCGGGAGCTCTTCTCGACCAGACCGGGCTGTCACATTTGATCGACTCCATGCACACCCACTTGGACACCCACTCCTTTCTGCTTTTGTGGAGCGATGGCAGCCGGATACTAACTCGTTTTACCTGCCTTTTGGTGAGATGAGCATCATACTGCACGACGTCCGGGCCATTTTGGGCGTTCCAGTGGAGGGAGTCGTGGTCGCTGAGGACCCGGATTCGGACGCCTGCCATGGGCTCTGCATGTCGATACTTTCGGTCACCAAGGGCGAACTCATGAGTTCGTTCTGGCAGCGTGGTTCGGTGTCCGAAGCCGCCATTTCGGGGAATTAAGGGGAAACGCCGGCGGCTAGGGATGAGGCGGGTGCCTGGATGTGGGTGATGCTGGCTACCACTTTGTTCGTCGACAAGAGTGGTAGTAGAGTGACCCCCAAGCTCCTGCACGAGGTGCTCGACGGCTTGGATTTGATTGGGGGTTACTCATGGGGATCGGCTACGCTGGCATACATGTACAGACAGCTAGGTATTGCCAGCCGAGGGGACTCTGCCCAGATGTCGGGCTGCTTGACTCTTCTGCAGTCTTGGATATATGAGTATTTCCCCGATTTCCGACCCCGGGGGCGTCTACCCATCGGTCCTGACTGTCTCGCACGATCACGCTCGTGGAGCGTAGGGAATGCGCCACGGTCAGACGATCGGCTCACTGCCATCCGTCGGCGCCTCGACAGACTCACTGCCTCCGATGTACGTGAAGTTATTTTATTTAAATTTAGTTACCCGTTATTTAAAATAATATAATTATTTTTATAAATGCTCTTATGCAATTGTGAACAGGTGCAATGGTTGCCATACGGCAGCTCCAGCCCAGATGAGATAGAGCCGAGGACTCTTTATAGCGGATTGATTCGATACCGCGATGTCGTCGAGCCGTACTTGCCTGCGCAGTGTCTGCGTCAGCTGGGGTATGTCCAGACTGTCCCTCCCCCTATATACCCGCCAATCAATGCAATACGTGCTTGGGAGTCTAGGAATTACAAGGTTGAGCATTCTGAGGCTGGTGCAGTAGGTGCCTGGACCCAGTTCTCGATGTCTGGGACGGTCAACACCGGTATGTTGACCCACACCACACAGGATCGCGGAGAGGCGACTGAGGATTACCAGCAGTGGTACAGTCAGGTTTCCCATCCGACTCTCATGGGCGAGGAGTTACCGGACGAGAACGAGGTTCCCAACGCGTGTCAATACCGCCTATGTAAGTTGGTTACTAAATTTTAATTAATGTTAATTAATTACAATAATTTTTTTTTAATACATTTTAGTCTTATGTTTTTATTCTTCCATTTTTTTAGTGGGTGGACCGTCTTTTGGGCATTACATCGATTTGGCAGCAGGGATGCGAATGTCCGGTGGCGGCGGAAGTTGAAGAACAGCTGGCTAAGTTTAAGTTGGATTACGACAATACCCAATAATGATGTAATGAATGCTTTTTTTTTTTA